ATTCATTTAGAGAAAATTTTGTGGACAGCTGTGGGTGCAAATCAAATCTTGCGTGTTTTTCAAGATCCCCCTGCCTCAATCCCCAGTCCACAGCCAGCCTAAGCCTAGGCCCAGCAGAAGATAGCTTTTTCTTGCCGAAATCAAAGAGTGCCACAGGGTGACATGTGATGCACAGACACCGAGTGTCTTGGAAAAACTGAATCCTCCGATCCTCACCTCCGCAATGGGCTCTGCTCAACCTGGGGTCGCCCCAGCACCACTCCGAGTGACAGACGCCAAGAGCAGCACCCTACCCCCTGCTGGTGCACAATTTCCCTCCCCACCTTTCTCCCCTCGTCTGAAACGGTAATTCCTCTGACCAGGAAAGTAATGACCCTGATACATTATTTCAGATGTCATTTTTTCAAAGGAATTAATCAGCTTAGTGTGAGACTGGATTACGTTTTAATTTTAATAGTGCTAAAGTCTTGCTGTTTTTTAAATATATTTTTCTGTTCTCTAAATTTCACTCAGATTGTACCTTGCTGTAATCTCTTCATTGTGGAAATTTGACAGACGAGAGCCATTATTCAATGGTGCTGGTATCAGCCTCACCCGTGTGCATTTCCTTCAGTCCCATTGTCTACATTGGGGATAATAGCTGAGATTGGGCAGCCGGGACCTAAGAGTGGTTTTATCTTCCATTGGTAAGTGTGGAGACAATCTTTTCAAAGGCACAAAAGAGGAATTAAATTACAAGTTCTCATTTATAGTCAAACGGAAATTGAGAAGTATACCTGCCATTTGCGCTTTTGGAAATGTGCCCTTAAATGTAAAGTAATTATTAAAATTTCTTCAGTTGTGGATTGCAGTTTTCACAAAAGGTCTCTGTACCTTATAGCTGTAATTAATGGCTCAGTTTTCCCAAGGAGCTTTGCATACTTCAAAGTATTTGCATGCTTCCACTACATTTCTTCCACCTTTTGAGATGCTTTTTATTCAAAATCAGTTATAAAGGAGGTGTTTATTCGGATCCTTGACAGTAGGCATTAGCTCATAGGTAACAGATCTCCAAACAGAAATAAAATCACATTTTAAACCTCGCACATGAAATGGACTCTTTTCCATCCTTTCTATCTGTTATTTTATTACCAGGTTTGATTACAGTGAGCAGCACAGTGGATTGTACCCATTGAACAATCAGTCTTTCTTGCAAACTTCTCAACACTTCCTTTTTCAGAAGGAAAATGTGAGAGAACCCATAATTTTTATTTATGGAATAGCTTGCCAGTACTTCATTTCTTGGCCCTTGGCTGGCAGCAAGAGCCTTTTTTTTTTCAATTCAACACAGTAAGTTTTCTGGGCATAATAAATGGTAATTTACATACAATATATTACAATTTCACATATATACACTATTTAACATAGGTACACATCCCAGTGTCTTCCTTTATTATATGCTACCTTCACATACATTATACATATGTGTACATATATATATAGAGAGAGAGTTTCTTTCTTTCAAAGACATTATTTGGTTAGAGGTAAGCAAAAGTACAATAGAGCCAGACAGAATGTGCGGGGCTGACATTTTCTCTCTTTGCAATTGGACCAGGTCATTCAGAGAAGGCGTATTCATCGATGGGTTCATTCGCCCACATCCCTTGTGCACATCTGAAAATCCTGGCCTTCGGAAGGTTAATCGTCCAGATGCGCAGTGCTTCACAAAATTGGGCCGTATCCATCAAACAATATTCAGAGCCTAGCTTCAGGGACTGTTTCTCAAAACATTGGTTGAATCTTGCAACTAAAAGTTAGACAGTGCTCATGAAGTCTCTTGTGACCCAGAGGAGAAGAAAGGTGAAATACATTCTCAAGACCACACTTCAAATACTCGCCACTTCAAATACTTCATGCCTAGCCACTCTCCTCTTAACAAGCAGAAAACTACAATTCATCTGCTGCCTGAAGGAGATGTCTTGGTTTTATTTGCATCTATGATTTTCATCTGTTCTTTTAACAAATAATAAGTGTAAGTAGTGCCCAAGATACAGATTTTTCTTTTTCCTTTTGATGGAAAAATACCCTCCTTGATAGATTTATAGGCTATATAAATAAGTCTAGTATAAACAGATCTCAATCTCTATCAATTATGTAGACATGCATATAAAATAACAGTAAGGTAGCCTCTCCGAAAGATGTTTATTAGCTAGCATTTAAACTACAGGTAGTACTAGTACAAAGATGACAAGATCTAAAGGACTGTCTCTGTTGCCACAGAACTTCTAAGGGAACAGGAGATGTAATAAAAAAAAAATGGCAAAGTAAAGCATTAGGACTTCTTCTTTTTTCTAGGCCAGGAGGCATTCTTCACTGACAATGTTCACTTTTTTTGGCTGTTTGGCTACATTTATCTCTGGTTTAATATCATTATAATGCAGGGGAATTATCTGGCTTAATGTCATTATAAGGCGGGGAAGCTACCCACTTTCTTCCAGCCGGACTGATTCAGAGGACACATTTGAAGAACTCACTGGTAACTAAGACAAAACCCTTTGGATTCCCACTGGGTCACCTGCTCAGAAATCATAACCGCACCCCCACATAGGTGCTAGTTAAGCAAGTTAAGCCCCTCGGCACCTCATGAGGTAGAATGTTACTGCTCCCCAGTTTCCAGATGGAGGAGACGAGGCACTGAGAGGTTAAATGGCACGTGCCGCGGGTAAGGTAGAAAGACTGGCAAAACGGGGGTGCACGGGAACCGCATTTCTCTCTCCCCATGCCAGTTCAGTTCCGCTCCCTTGCCCCGGCAAAAGTCCCTCTCCTGCTCTGTCCTGCTGCCAGCCGCAGCGTTGGTTCCCATCCTACACTCAAAACTGCTAATGCTGAAGAACTCACGCCGTTATGTCCAGGCTTTAACCTCTCAAAAGATGGGTGGGCTATTTCTGTAATATTTTTTGCCTCTTTATTGTAGTGATCTCCACCTGTCGATGCGAGAAGTGTGGAGGTTTCAGCTGCGAGAAGAGCTCTGTGTGGTAAATGCACTGCCCTGGTAGCTCAGGAGAGAAGCGGCAGGCTGGGATACGGAGCAATCCTTCCTTTCAGGTACTGCGCTTCCCTTCTCACCAGCGATTTCAGGGCTGTATTTTCTTAGTTGTATGACCACACGGAACTCCCTTAATGTCAGTTATTAACGTGACGGGTGAAAGGGGAATACGGATGTTAATTTTAGTTTCTCTTATCAATTTTGTTTCCAGCAAATCAGTGTGACTTAGCAATATTTGAGGCACAAGAAAAATTCTGGATATTGTTGACAGTCTGTAGTTGGCACTTCCCTGCTGTTTTCTACATCTTTTGAGATTTAAGACATAAGAATTACTGCTACAGTAAGCAGAAAATTTCACACGCCAACACATAGTTACAGTTTTATTAGTATTTTTGTTTGCTTTTCCTTTATTCATGTGATTTATCTGAATCTTCGTGGCCCAATTCCAATCGGATGTATAACTTAATCTTTTCATTGAGTCAGCTTCTAACCTCAGTCCTGGGTCTTCACGCTTCAGGCTCTGCCTGCCCTGCTGAGTTCCATTGGTAACCAAATGTTTTGAGGAACATAATCTCTACTACAGCCAAAAAGCCATGTTTTTTTCTAAAAATAAGGAGCACACAAACCTGAACATCGTTGTCTTGTTGCTATCACGTTTCTACATTTGGGTTTTGCTGTCAGCGTTGTTAGCAAAGCAGAGGGAAATACCACGGGATGAAAATGAAATGCCAAGCACAGAAGCTTGTTACAATGCTCTCCAGCAGCTTCAAAGGACTTACTTACATCAACCTTGAAGCCAGAGGCCAGACAGGGTCTTATTGAATCCCACAGTGTTAGTCTTGGCCATTTAATATCTGACATGCCTATGTTTCTGCAGAAAGAGTTTCTGGCAGACAGCTCTCCCTCTTGATCCAAAATGCCTGAACAGAAGGACAACGTTTTGATTGGGAGAGGCACGTTAGGATATACAATTTCTCTGTGGGCTTCACTTTCCTCATAGGAGTGAGGAAATCCTTGAAAGCCACCAGTGCTGCCCTAAGAACTGTTTTCTGCCTCTGGAGAGAGAAAGCTGCGGTTGCAAAGACACTGATCATTCACCGTATGTTGACTGGCATGCAACATGTCGTCTTCCCCTTTCATTTTAGAGGGCATGTGCTACACGTCATGTGCTGTGCTCAAGTTTTATAGAGAACACATGCCTAAACCTCCCTGTTTTCATTACCCATGTACCCTGAGAGCCATCTTCTGTGAGACTGTGGGCTTCTTTGCTCTACTTCATCATCACTCATTACTTCTAACCTGGAAAAAAAATTACCACTGACTCAAACATACCACCTGCACTTTGTAACCAACCCTGTTGATCCTGGCCAGTCAGCTATCCTAATGGTATCAATGAAGGTCCTATTTAGAGAAAGCAAATTTTCAACCCTAAAATGAGGTCATCTTCATAAATCAATGGAAAGAAATAAGATGTTCATATGCCAAAGAAAATTAAAAGGATTTGCTCAAAAGCAGATATTTTTAAAAGAAAAGGCCTCATTCAGTTCCCTTATAGGAGATGCACTGTCCAAACCTCCCCTTGTGAGTTGCATTTGTCTAATTCCTGACAGCCCATGTGAGCACTGTCTCTGGTTGTCCATTGCACGGCAGGCATCATCAGCATGGATGGCCCCAAATGAACGTACAGCACCTTTTGGGTGAATGGTGAGCACATATTTTCAAGTATGAGAAATGACATGTGTCATAAAGCAAATGGGAGCTGGGCTGTAGGTTGGAAAGCAACCAGCACAGCAGGTTCCTCCATGATGCCTGTGCATGGAGTTGCCCAGTGGAGGACGTGACCTCCTGTTTGCCCTCCAAAGAAACAATAAAATAATCAGTTTTCTTGCTTTGCATCTATATTAGACTGAAAAAGAACCAACGAAAGAGAGTTTTGTAAATGTCTTTTGCTTCAGTCACTGCTGTGACAGCATGCTTAGCTAAAGACAGACCAATATATCAAATTAAAAAATATATAGGTGCCTGGAAATATTAATCTTGAGTATTTATCAATTGCATGAGTGTTCTGGATGATGCGCAAGCCCACATGGCCCTTCAGGCCTCTCTTCCTTGATAGATTAGATTCGTTGCTCATAGCTAAGTGCACAACTATCTTTTCTTGTTTTTCTTCCTCTGGGACCATCTGGTTTCTTGTATATCCTGCCAGGCTGTTGGCATCAGATTCACTGTAGTTTCCATCAAGCATCATAGTTTTCGAATGAGGTATTCCACACGTACATGGAAACTAGGAACATAAACAAGAAATATGGCTGAACACTGGAAGAACGTATTAGCAACAGAAAAGACATATTTCTATTAACAGACAGCTTGTAAACAGGTGAGCCTGAGATTTAGTTAAGATATTGTAATTTTCTCTTTGAACAAAAAAGTCACTTTTTTCCCCCTTGTGTTCCAAAAGGAAGAGATGGTCTAGCTACACTGCTTGGATAAGCAGCTTCAGAAAATGTTAGAAAAGTGCTTTAGTAGACATAAAAATTAACTAAAAGATTTTCTTAGCTAGCTCTGTTCAGCCTTGCTGGCTTGAGATTCCTTATTTTGCAGTCTTTGTATTTATAAATATTCAGGGACAAGACGCAGTTTTATCTGTGGAAATGGCTTATCCAGTACATGTTATGGAAAAAAGTTAAGTTTTGGTTTCACAGATACACGTTTTCTTTGTAAATCTGATTTTAAACCAAGGAGAGGACCAGTTCAAAGCCTAATGTAATATCCCAGCTCTGTTGAAGTTGATGTCAAAGCTTGCATTGGCTTCAGCAGCACCAGCATCCCACAAGTCTAGAAAAACCAATGAATACAAGTAGAGTTTTGAATAGCAAATACTGTCTTCTACTATTTAAAGTCTACAGGGTTTCTGTCTCAGCAATATGGGTTATATATTTGTATGTAATGAAAATGGACTCCAAAATCTCCTTTCTGCTAGGAGTTCCTGCCTCTGATTCCCACAGACTGCTTTCCTTACCCAGTAAGTCTTCGCCTCCAATTCCCTCCTCCACCAACTTTGATGTGTGTGTTTTCCAAGGAGTTGTTTTCAAGGATAAGTTCAGTTAAAATAATTAAGTACAGAATGTATGTAACCTGAATATATATATATATATATGAAGTACATATACCTGAAAATGTAATATTCAAGATTCCACTGGAAAACTCTGAACTCAAGGCTTTTATTCAAATTATTTAACCAACAGTTCACATTGATTACTGAAAATCTGAAAATCAATTTAGGGATTGTTTTCTGTGTTCTAGTAATAATAAATTTTTTTTTATATCAGCAGATTGTGTGCAGAAAAACATGACAAGTTTGTAGCCCATTTGCTCTATTTGTTAGACCTATCACTAGGAATTTTTTGGAGCACTCCATGGGTAAAGCTGAACATCAGTTGGATTTTAAGACATATTTTATACTAAACAGATGTACCCAAAAAAAACTTAAAAAATCAAAAGACCAAAAACACACAGGGAAGAATTACATCAAGCTCTTTATCATCAGCTGATGACAGATCCAGGAGATGGTGAGTGGGTGGAAGGGAAAGCAGTTAACAGCAATAAGCTAATTGCTGAAAGACCCAGCAGAGAAAGAAATTTTGCAGATTTACTGTTAGCCCCAATGTCAAATTACAGTTGCCATGGCTTCATGTACATGATGACAGTCAGCTCTCTGGACAGAGTCTTAAATTTGACCCATCTTCACATAGGCATCTACATGCAGAAGTGTGCTATGTAATTTCACTCTGCAGCAATTTTAGTCTACACTAATAAGTTAAGCACAATCAAAGAGCATTCCTGGACGTGGGAACTCAGCTGATAATACTATTAGAGTGTCAGAAATGTCTCTGGCCCGAATTTTGTCCAGGCCAACAAAAATCAAAATATTCCATGTACAGATCGAGAATTAGCATGGGCCACCGAACCATTTGCCACAGGCAGTTCACACCAACTACACTGATTTTGAGGGA